AAGAAAAATGAATTTCCAAAAGATAGAAAATTTTCTGCAATCCAACTCAAAAATTCTTAAAGAAAGAAACAATTTCGAAAGGAGCGTATTTTCGTAAAGGTAAAAATTTCGAAAAAAACACAACTTTCTTAAATCCCCTTCAACTGGCGAGTATGATTCAATGGACTTTATGTTAGAGAAAATTATTTCGAAAAAAAAGATTTTTATTATCTGCTTCAATTCCAATTAATTATGTAAAATTTTTCATAATGGAAATTAAAAAACAAAATGAATTTCAAATTCTGCCAAAGTGCATATATTCAAATGAAGTTCTTCAACCCAAAAGGAGCTCAAATTTTAATCTATCTCACCCAACATTAGCCTACCAACCTTTCTCCCCCGAGCCGATATTAAATTTTAATAGAATGCAACTTTAATCACACAAATTTACCATAAAAGCACTAGTGTTGAAGATAATGCGATTTCGAATACAAATTGAAAATGGGGAAATTACTTAAACAATCATTTTTGTTAAAAATTTTCCAATTTCAATGCAATTCAGGATTTTTTTTAATATCTGCCTTTTCCATCACAGAGAAAGCGCAACAGTTCTTCGAAGAGTGGAGAGGATCTGGAAGGTATAAATGCAGGAGTAAACCAAAATTTAACTACAAATTTCCCAAAAATAAATTTTCAGATATTTAAGCACATTGCCTTACTTACACTTATAAATATTTGCACACATTTGCATGCAAAGCCAAATGCATATGCAATATAAATGTGTCAATGTGTGTGTGGGTGTGTGTGTATGAATATGTGCACTTGTTAATATGCAAGTGCAGGCGCTTGAAATTTATCGTTTTCTAGTGCATCCTCATAGGCATTCCCGTCACGACGTCTCAATGACTTTACGAAAAAAAAAAATGGACTATAAACAAAATGTCTAGTCCGAAACCGTTATATGTGATTTTATAAATACTTATGTATGTGTAGCGCATGTGGAAAAGTGTTGGCAAAATAGTTGCTTGCAAATACCAACACTTTGTCTAACAGCCACACATGCATACACACATATGTATACGAGTATATATGTACAATATGTAATTATGTATGATTTTGTTTATTTTTGTGCGCTTGCACAAAATACAGAAATTGAACTACGAACCTAGCACAGTTCAATACATTTACAGACATGCCATAACTTTGACTTGCTCTGCACAGGTAAATATTCATTTGTATGTGTGAAAGTGCTTTTTTTTTGTTTAATATCAATATTGGTACTCTCCCTTCAATTTAGATTACTCAATTTTACTTCTGTAGAATGTTAAATGAATTCCAATATATTATTCTGACAAGTTTTGGAATTATTTTAGTTTTATATAAATTGGCAGTAATTCTCCATAAACTCAATTTAATTGAGTGCATAAGTTCGTGCCCGATTTCAATTGCAAACTAAAATTGAAATTTTTCGAAGAAAGCGCTTTTATTAATCAATTATGTATTCGCCATCATGTTCGGCAATCCACTTCCACTGTTCAACCAATTTACGGATGCCGGATTCATAGAAATCGCGCGGTTTCTTGTTGAAAAAGTTGTCAAGGTGGTTTTTGACGTCTTCTACACTTTTAAATTTTTTTCCATTCAAATTGTTCTGCAGCGATCGAAACAAATGATAATCAGAAGGTGCAATGTCGGGTGAATATGAGGGATGCGGCATGATTTCCCAATTCATCTCCTTCAGTTTGGCCAGGGTCGGTTTTGCAACATGTGGCCTGGCGTTGTCATGATGGAAATAAACTCCTTTGCGATTGGCCAAAATCGGACGTTTTTCATCAATTGCTTTCTTTAATTCGACCAATTTGCTGACAATACTTGTTGGCAGTGATCGTTTCTCCAGCTGACAAGAGCTCAAAATAGATCACGTCTCGGATATCCCACCAAATGCACAGCAGTACCTTCATCGGATGCAATCCACCTTTCGACATCGGTTCCGCCCCTTCGTGTGCCTGTTTCCATGTTCTTTTGCGTTGAACATTGTTGTACAGGATCCATTTTTCATCACCAGTCACGAGCCGATCCAAAAAAGGTTCGTTTTTGATCCGTCGAAGCAAAGAAATTGCTGTTGACATACGGTCCACTTTGTTTTTTTCACTCAACTGATGTGGCACCCATGTATCGAGCTTCAAAGTGTACCCAACCTTTTTTAAACGACGAAACGCAGTTGATTTGTTGACGTTCAATACACTGGCAACCTCTTCCGTCGAAATACGTGAGTTATTCGCAACTAAAGTCCTTAGAACATCGTCATCAAGCTCAGAAGGCCGTCCACTGCGAGGTTGATCTTCGAGGTTAAAATCTCCAGAAACGAAATCGCGAACCATTTCTTTACTGTGCGGAGTGCTGAAGCACAGTCCAAATAAACTTCGCGAATATCTTTAGTTGCAGCGCCTACTGTTTTTCCTTTGCGGAATTCGTATAACATAATATGACGCATATGATCTTTTTCATTATCCATCTTCCATGCGTCTTTTCACTATCAACTCAAATCAAAATGAAGCTATTTTATGATTGATTTACAGTTCGGACTGTCACCTTTCCAACGATATATAATATGTATATATTTCTTTCACGAGCGCCACTTTCAAACGATCCAGCGGAATCGGGCACGAACTTATGCACTCATCCAATATTTAGCTAGAATTTAGTCTTACAGGGAATTTAATATAAATTGCAAAAGTTTTCCAAATTTTTTAAATTGGGAAAAATTGTCCGTTATAGCGGGCTATCAATGTTGTGGTTTGAAAATTGCTAATTTGACATCTATCAAACTTAACTATCAAACCAAACATGTTTTGTTTTAGTTCAAAGTTTGACATTTATTAAAATGGAGGCTTATAACATCGGTTTGCTCTCTCCACCTCAAATATCGTTCCTGTAAGCGAAGAGGTAGCCGGTAGCGCCGTATTTGTATATTTTTAGACGTTCTTAAGAGCAGCGACTTTATGGCGTATTTTGCATTTGTTCACAAAACAACTGAAGAAAGCCAACTGACCATTCAAAACGCCGTGCATACGTCGATTCGGTTTTTATAATAAGCAAATTTTTCTCCAAAAAGCGCAAAAAAATTACTGTCTAGTGCACTCTTTGAAAGGAAAGTATGATTGACCTTACTTCTTTGAAAACGAGAGTGGCGAGACTGTCACAGTTGATTCCGACCATCACAGTCGTATGCTAAGCGATCCTTTTTGGCGTGCAACTGAAGAGAGTGCTTTATTGGGAGAGAAATTTCCGAGCCGCGTCATCTCTCGCCTCATCGATGAGCTTCTGCGGATAAATGTTTGAATCTTAGGCACTTGAAAACCAACATTCGTCAAATAGTCGAAACTTATCTCCAACAGAACGAAGCGATAAACAAAGACTTCAGTAGCACAATACGCGAAAGATTATAATAGTGGGAAAAAAAGCAAACCTTATTCGCTCAGTAGCGTCTTCAGATGTTGAATACTTTTTTTTTAGTAATATTCTGCTTATATACCTTGTGGTTATTTCATATTAAAGCCACGCCAAACACAAGCGTGACATTTGATAACAATTTAGCAAATATTATATTTATTACTCTTCTATAAATTTTTCTTTCTCGCCTATAATCCCCAGCAAAGCTGCCGTAGTACAATAACTATCCGGCTATTAACCTAATAAATTGGTAAATCAAAATTGTAGTCAAGCGCTTTATCAGGTCTACCAGCTGTCAAATACTTAAATCGCTGATAATAACGTGACTAATTTATAGTTATTAAATGCATATATTCTTGGCAGAAAAGTGTATGGCTTATAAGTGAAATAGGAATATGTCCACGTGTTCTCCGAGAAAAAAATGTGGTGTAGCAAGTTTCACAAATAATGAATCCACTATGCTTACAATATCTGTTCTAGATAAAGCCGAAAAGAGTCAGAGGGAGGGTTCTAGCGTCTCACTCATGCTTCCATCCCTACCCTGTCATTGTTACTATTGCCCATTCTGCTCGTGTGTGTAGACAAAAAAGGACTTATTTCGTAGAGTTTTTATAAAAGTTTTTATAAAAGAAAGATTGTGAAGATTTTTCTTTCTCACACAAATATTAAAACATTTTTTTCTTTAGATATCAAGGTTCAACGCTTCTGTTTTCATTATTTTATGAATTCCTTTTTACAGAAATATTTATTATAATTACTTCAAATTGAAAGGTAACGAATAGTTATGGTATATTAAGGGAAGATGCAAATTTTTCTATATTTCTACTAAAAAAATTTAAAAATCTTCAAACCACAAAATTAATTTAAACAAAAATAATAATCTTTTTAGAACGAATAAATTTTATTTTTTTATTGAAACCAAAATATTCCATGATTTAAATGTTCATGTTTTTTCATGCGTATGGCTGCTCTGTGCTGCCCCTGGCAGCTGTTATTTTTAGAGAGAAAATTGTTGTGTGCTGCCACTGGTCTCATATTATTAGTGTTTTCACTACATACTTGTACATATACATATGTATAAAATAATTATTTGTTATTTATTTATTACAAAAATACATAATATGATATTTATAGAAATATAGGTAACATATATATATATGTATATATACGCGTTAGTAATTGGCTATTGGAATTGGATAAATATTTTCTCTTAGTATATAGTAATTTTTAGTTATATATATATAATTATATACTAAGTTATTTAAATTAGTTAAACTGAACAATTTTATGGAAAAATGTTCAGAGCTTCATAGCAAGCATACGATTTGTACAATCATAAATATTATGTTATGTATTAGCTAAATTTAAACGCAATATTATTTTTGATACCTATACTATAAATACTTATATAAAATGTAATTGACATAATAAACAATTAATGAATAAAAAATTATAAAAAAACTTTCTCTACATAATTTTTTCCGGCGTAAAAATATAAACTATTTTTCAACTTAAAATTAATAAATTTTTTAAAATGGTTTTTGCTAAGCGATGTACGTTTAAATATATTTATATGCATAATTTTTTTAGTAAATATAATTAAAATAATAATTAAATAAAATTTTTTTATTTTATCACTTTGCTATTAGAAAAGCAAGAGAATATTTTGTTTGCCCGTTATGAGAGGTATTTCAAATACTTATTGATGTTATATGTTAATATGTGCGATAAATACATATTTACATATATGGACTTGCTTGAATATAGGAATGTCACCCTAATACTCATTGCTTACAGTTTTATTTTTTGTCATTTTTTCATTATTATTTCCGTTTTTGGCCATTCTACTCTCAATTATTTAATTTCGAGGCCTCGAGTTCCACTTAAATAAAAAATATATTTTACTTAATGCCGCCTCAGAGTTTACATTTCTAAGCTTTCTCTGAAGAAAATCATGTTTTTGATCACTGCTTGTCTTGTCAAAATTTTCAAAATCCGAATTTTCGTCATTACTGTCCATGTTACTGTTCAATTTCTTTTTAAACTCTACTCGCCAACGAGTAAAGTCTAAAAATGTCAAAGCCGAATTCTTTTTTAACTTAAATCTAAGAGTTTTTTTAGCACCGACTGACGTTATTGTCACCACTACTTATGCGTTTCTTTTCTTTCCCATTTCTCTCTCTCTCTATCTATCTATCTCTCTCTCCATTCCGCTGTCTTTCCTCATCCTTCCCTTCTCTGTCACTACCCAACCGCTCTCTCTTTCTCTCACCGCCTACCCATCAAACGCATAAGCACACCGTGCAACAATATTAACGCCGCCACCACCCGTGCTAGTCAATCGATCCGATTCGTCTGTAATCTGCCTGCAGCGCCATCTGCGTCACTCTCAATGATCTTCTCAACAAATTCATCCCATTTTAATTGCCATTTCTCTAGCGCCACCAGCTGTTGTTGCTCATTCAATGCGCTATGAACCAAAGAATTGATTGCCAACTTCTTCAGCAGCCTCAAATCGGCATGTGCTGAGGCGATGCCGAGGAAGGCAATGTAGAAATCGTGTGAGAGTGGCGTCGCACGCCAAAAGGAGGGATCATCGGATGAGATGACAACCGTAAAGTTATCAGAGAATAAATGTGAACAAGGATGATTGCGATAGTCCGCGACAAGTTGTAGCACTTGATTTGAAATTGGATTAATCTCGACGGGTATATTGCGCTCTTTCAACGCCTGCAAAACGAGTGGATGTTTGGTGAGAGCAAAACCATGCCCAATGCGCTTGGTGCCGAGTAGTACAGCATCAATGAGATTCTCATCAACAGCAGCGCCATACCAGTTGGTCTCGCCGGCGTGGAAGTAGAAATCAATATCGGCCGGCATGCTGAGTAATTGTGGTATGAAATCTTTGAGTGGACGGCCGAGCTCTTCTTGGCCAACCAAATCGAAACCAGCGACAAAGTCCGGATATATGGCCTGGAAGTGATATGTGTCTTACACAAAATTAATATGTGAAAAAATACTGCACTCACCTTAATCTCAATACAAGTACTTATGTACTTTTCAACGGTTTCCGGGCTTGCATTGCGTAAAGGCGCATAGATCATTTTTGAACCAATGAAGTCTGGATAATCTGCCATAAATTTGTCCAGAGTGTCCTTGTAGATACGTACGGTATCCATCTCTGTGTAGTTTCCATCTTCTAGGTCATAGAGCTAGAGTGTTAAAAAGGAAGGCAAAATTAATACATAATAATTATTACATATAGGGCAAGCTCTATGACCGAAATCTTAGATTCCTTAGCTGTTAAACATAAAACTCATTTCCACTTACCTTTGGCAATGTGCTGCGGAACTCTAAGTACTGCACGCCATCTGCACGAAACTCCTTCAATGCATTGTAGTAGTAATCAGCCCAAACGGGCGCGTAAGTAAGCAGGCCATCGAGCAGTCCAAAAATCTGCATAAAACTCTGCCAAGCCTCATTGTTATCTAAGAATTTCTCTTTCGGATACAAAGTGAAACGTTCACGCAGGTACTCATCCACCGCAGCAGCACTGTATCTGGCACGCATCTCAGCCAACAAGGTCCACGTACAGTCCGTGTCATTAACTACCAACGACGGTTTAGATTTCGCGAAACGCATGGAAACCGCCTCCAAGGCCCCACTACCCTCACAAGCCCACAAATTCTCACGATACGTAAGCTCAATCAAAAAGTCCGTACTACACACGGCGGTATCGTGCGCATGCAATACACCACCTTTCGGCATGAGCTGCAAGTACGAGAACAACGGCGTCTTTGAGATCTCCTCCAACACGCTGAAGAAATGTTTCGACGGTTTAAAGAGATGCGGCGTCACCAGACCCTCCTCATACTCGTACGTCTTCGCCGCCATTATGATCTGATTGGCAAGCAATTCGCGCGCGTTCAGCTCAATATCAGCGCCCAAACCTTTCGATTCCTCATAGCGAAAAAATGTGCTACGTTCCGCATTGTATGCCTCGGGTGTGGGACGAATGTTGCGCGCACTGCCATCAGCTTTATGCACGTAGGCGGCTAAATGTGTGGCGGCCAATTCACTGCGTGTATACAAACGTGCAATCGCAATGCTGAAAAGACACGCGATAAACGCAAAGCGCAAACAACAACCGTGCATATCGATATCTGAACGACTACTAAATGGTTTTATGGAGCTCTTCCTCCAACAAACGTGCACGTTAAAAGCGACTCGAACGTGTACTGGGAAGTTGTTGCCAAAAGCGTTGGTAATTTAAGATCTTTTCAGTTGTAGGTTCCTTCTTTTTTTTGCTCATTCAAGTGTGTTGTTAATCTGCAAGCGAATAAATTTTGTATGTATGTCAGTCTAATTTTATGATCAGCTTATCGGCAAATGTGCTTATGTATGCACGTTAATACTTAATGAACTAATGGGAGTTCATTTCAAAAATCATTGATAAATATTCGAAGCAAAGCAGAAGATTTCAAGTGTTGATAAGATAAAATATTTGAATAAAAAAAATGTATTTTTGAATGTAGGGTTTGTATTATACAATAAGATCATAACTATACTTAGTTAATTGCTTGTGCTTCTTCATTGAGTACTTTGTGTGACGAAATGTTGCCAAAACTTAGTATTCTTTCACTAAATGTGTGATGTTTTTACCTCCCAATATACATAATGTAATCAAATTTGTAGCACGTGATTCGTTTTGGCAATTAGAAATTTGAAGTGACATAATTGGCATAAGAACACGTTGCAACAAACTCATATGATATCACATCATGGCAATGATGTTCTTTTAAGCTTCGGTCGCTGTGCAATTCTCTAATAGTTATGAAATTGATATATGCATTTTATCGAATACAAATATATGTACAAATCTATATAAATATATATAAATGATATCAAAAAACATTCTATTACAACACAACGTAGATATGGCATGAAACGACTTCGGCATACATCGCATGCTAAAATATCACGGCGCAACATATCAGACAGATATGTATTGTAAAAAGAATGAAATATATTGTGCATATGCAATAGATGGTTATGTATGAGCATCAAATTTATGAAAGTATAAAGGCATATCAGATTTAGTTATATTTAGAGAATAAAAACCAAATCAGCGCAAATCCATTTGATATCACATCACAGCAAGCAAGCAACATCACTTTATCGGATGGATAGTTTGATTTCAAATAATCATATATATGTACGCAATAAGCATTTAAAATTACTATCATTCATATTTATCATATTACAATGCAAGAACAAAGTCACATGATATTATTTTACGTCTGATCATATCACATGTTATTACAGCACATTACAGCAATATCAAATATCATTTGCACATACATACAATAAGTTTTTTGTATGTATATATGTATGACATAGTGTGTACTTACAAATTCATTGAAACTATTTACTGCAATCTTGTAATGTATTAATTACTTAATGTAATAATAGCTCATCACATCATCTGTCGTTACATCATCACTACATCACATGACAATTTTAAATAAATATTTATTTTATAAGAATTCATGCATGAATGGAAACATTAACAACAAACAAACGGCATAAAATCTAACTCAAGTCGCATCACATCACGTAACCTGGAATGAAATCTCATGGTAAAATATCGCATGAAATCGAATTTTAATCATATGTTTTCGTCCTCATTCTCATTACATTACTTGGTACTAGCCATATCATATCATATCATGCCACAACATATGATATGATATGATGAGGTGGATTAAGTGATATTTTTCTATAATATTGTTTTGTGCAGCCTGATTTATCTGGTCCTTATTAAAATACCATAGAATTTTCCATTAGCTTATAACATATGGTTTACAAACCACATTATGTCTTATCCATCAAAAATATCAGTCGGAAAATCATCACAAACTTTCTTTCGCCTGGTTTTCCAATCACGCGATGTGACATCATAAGACTGCACCGCTTGTGAAGTCCTTTTGATTGAATCGTTCTCAATGCATTGCAATCAATCCTCAACATTCGAAAAATCGTACTTCTTCTTACGCAAACCAATTTAACAGGAAATACAAATTTACCAATTTTAGTATCAAGCAATTAAAATAAAATTTATTTTCTATTTACAAAATGTTTTTCATCATCAATTTACATATATTAAGAAGTCATCTCAGAATTTATATCATCAATCCATGACTCCCATTTCAAATTCCATTTCTCATAAGCCTCCACACGCTCACTAGCACTGAAAGCGCCATAAGCTATTGAGTTCAGAGCCAATTGCTTTAGCAAGCCCAAGTCAGCTTTCCTCGACGCGATCACCATAAAAGCCATATAGAAGTCATGCGTTAGCGGTGTGGCCTTCCAAAACGATGGATCGTCTGAAGCAATAACGACAGGATAGTTGTCGGAAAAAAGTACGGCAGCTGGATGTGTGCGTAAATCGCCGATATATTGCAGCACCTGATTCGATATCGGATTGACTTCAAGCGCGATATTTTGTAAACGCGCCGCACGCAACACCTCGGGATGCTTGAGCAGAGCTAGACCGTGGCCGATGCGCTTTGTGCCGAGCAGCACGGCATCCAGTAGATTTTCATCGGTGTTTGTGCCATACCAGTTTGTTTCGCCCGCATGAAAATAGAAATCAATTTCACCTTGAATCGATAAAAGCTCGCCCGCATAATCACGTAGGGGACGACCTTCGTCCTCAAAGCCGACCAAATCAAAGCCGGCGAAATAGTCCGGGAAGTGGGACTGCGATCAGGCAAACAGAATTAACAAAGCATTAATCACCTGCTCGAGCACATGTTACTTACCTTGAGCAACAGCGCATTGCCCAAATACTCAGCAAAACGTGCATCGCTCACTCTTCTTGTGGGCGCATAAATCAAGCGCGAGCCAATCCAATCTGAATGTGAAGCGCGAAAACGTAGATCTGCATTACGCATTGCGCGCGTCGTATTCAAAATGGTAAAGTTCCCACCCACCAGATCGTATAACTAAAGGGAGACAAAGCACACAATTTTATCCAATCAGGACGAGCTTTTGTCGCATAACTTACTATCGGCAAGACCGAACGTATTTCCAAATACTGCACACCATCCTCGTGGAATTCCTCCAACGCGCGATATATATACTGCTCCCACACCGGCGCATAGCTCAAAAGCCCGATAACGAGACGAAAAATGCTACGAAATCGTCTCCAAACCGCATCCTCATTTTCAAACTCTTCTTGCGGATACATAGTCAACTGTGCCAACAATTCCTTATCAACAACATCACTCTGCTCCTCTGCGCGCAACGCACTCAACAGCGCCCACTCACAAGTCTCTTCAACTTGTGGTTGCATTAAAGAGAAGAGCAATTTTTGATACTCTTTCTCTACACTCTTTGAGACGCAAGCCCATAGATGCTCACGATATGTCAGCTTTAGCAAATAATCACTGCTACACAACGCCATATCATGTGCATGTAAGACGCCACCTTTTGGCATCGCTCGCAATCGTTGAAAGAGTATCGTATTGTTGATTTTAGTGAAAGAGCGGAAAAAATGTTGTGACACCTGAAAATTGCTCAAATTATGCAAACCCCGTTCCAGTTCGTGTTTCTTCTCGAACATGATCAATTCATTGGCGACTCTCTCCTTGGCGTTGAGCACGATGCGGCCGCCCAATTGATTATTTGACTCTTTCTCCAGTATATTGGCGCGCATTGTCTCGTAGAGTCGCACACGCTCCGCAAGCAATGCATGCCGATCGAATGCGGGTAAATCCAATAACAATGCAAAGACCAGACAATTTGTCAATATAAATAATGCAGCCAAATATCGTAGCCAGCAACAGTTCGCCATCATCAGAGTTGCTCGAAAGACGCACACAAACTGATTGGACTCGCTCGCGAAAGCGGCGCGGACTACCTCACTCAGCGGAGAGCACTTTAATGCGGACTTAAGATAAATCGTCGTCGGCTTTACACAAAATAATCAGTACTCGGCTTGCGCTTGACCGCGTCCGCAAGACATATATTGGCGTCGCTGGCGTACTAAGCAATGCTCGCAATTTCCTTTGCTTCTGTGGGGTACGGAGATTTAAACCAAAAGTAATCTCAAATTGTTTCGCTGAAAAACTTTTATTGGGCGATTTTGTCGTATTTTTTTTTTACTTTTTTATAATTTTGTAAATTCTTTGTTGTCTTCAAACGTGTTTAATTATAAGAAATCAATGAAGATGGCATTTTATTGAAGGAAATAAGAAATCAAAACGATTAGGTTTCCAAATCGTCTCTATTATCGACAAGTCCCATCTGTCTTCTTCCTATGGGCTTGTAATGAGGAATAGTCTTGCTGTGAAAGATTATGTGCAAGAGTGCGGCTGAAGTCTTAAGAAACTTCTGGATATGAGAAAAGCAACTGTCAGCATCGGTTTTGATACAATCTACCCAAATCATATCGATGTTTTTTGCGCTTAGGACCCGTTTCGAGTTAAAATTTATCGACTTTAACGCTTTTCAGAATGGCCCAGTCAACTTCAAGATTCAACCTGACTTAAATACGGACCAACTAATCATCTTTTATTTTGTGGTCTAGTATTATCGGTCAAGGAATAATGAAGATGAAAGAAAGCATTTTATCTCAGTGCAGACTGAGGCGAATAGAGAGAGGGGAAACATTATGGGTTAGGCCACAAGCGTTTTCCAGTTTCAGGTTGTTGCTATTAATATGAGTTATCAACACTGTTCTTAAAGTCAATTTTAAGTATTATGAACTGGGACGAAGCAGAGTCTCTGGAAACTGCAAAGTTATTGTTATTGCGTAGGTAGCTGTGCTCGACTAGTGTCCGACTGTACTCAGCTTCTGAAGAGGAAATTTAAGCTAATCCAACCAGCACACGTTTGCGCAATTCTCTGGGCTAAAGACGGGACGTTAAAGATAACGGATTCGCTTTATCGTTGGCAGTGAGGCTTAAAACTTTACAGTATTCCCACTACTCGAGTTGTCTAGATGAGGAAATGGTATCTCCTAAACAGTCCTGCGGAGAAGCTTTAAGTAACCCTGTAAATAAGTAATTATGGTTTTGGGAACTCATTCAATATGAGATCTAATTTTCGTATATGAAGATCAGGGCTACAAGTGGAGTTAAGGAGGATCCGATCAAAAACTGTCGCATTTTCTAGTATATTAGGGTTATATTGCACATTTGGCTGGAGATATCCCTACGTCTACTTCCGTATTTTTCTTAGTCGAAGTAAATTGAACTTAAGCCAACATTTTTACCCAAAGTAAAGCACGAGGGTCAGCGGAGTCCTCAGCACAAATGGCAGTGAACTTAGTCTTGTATTACCAAACTTATTTTATCTCACAAACATACAGGAAACCCATTTGGACTGGTGAATTAAATTTCAAAGAAGGGATGCGCCACAGCTGTAATATTTGTTTGGGTTTTGAATCAAAGAATTTGGGAAGCAAAAATATCTTTTGAAGAATCTCAAATTGAGTTGAGTGAATTAAATAAAAATTATGTTGATCAAAAGAAAACAAAAAACTTATAAAAAAATAAGTACATAAAAGCGGTGATCTATTCATGTTTAAAAATAAATAAAAAGAATTCAAAAATCTAAAATATTTGTCATATTCCAGAAACAAGAATTTCTATAAAAATGCGGAACGACACGGCAGCTACAGAAATAAAAAGAAAATGACTCAAAAAGAAAAATTTTTGAAGGCGAAAATGCACAAGCATATCTGTCAACTTTTTTTAAAAAAAAAAAGTTTTATTTTCATAAAATATAAAGGATTTTAGAAATTTTTTAAATTTTTATAAAGAAAAAAGAATTTTATTTAACCCAAACTAATTAAAACGCTCATAGGCGTCTGAAACGTATCGCGACGTTGGCTTTAAGCAAAACTTATTAAAAAAAAAAAGAAAAAACATTTCAAAAAATACCGATTTATTTTTGCTTTATAAAGTTTTTTAGGAAAAATCTATAGGTTATTTTTCTCACAACAATCAAAGAGAAATCGACACGTGTCAAAATCTCAACCGCTCCCTGCGTTTCAATGAGGAGTACGCTGCGGGAACGAAATTTGCAAGCATTGAATTTGGACGCCATTAGTATTGAAGTAGAAAAACTGCGACGACAACAACAGCAACATACGCAGGTTAAGTCTAACCACATTCGGGCAGAAGATTAAGATTAATATTTTTTTTATTTTTGCAGTTTCTAGAGGCAACAAGACAAGCGCCAAGAACGCCACACACAAATCTCGCCGTCTACAAAAAAATGCCGTTGCCGAGATCGCAGGCAATAAAATGTAAAATATTTCAAAGAAAAAATATAATCCAGCAAAATATTCTTCCACAGAGCTCCGACCAAAGCGTGCAAAAGGGAATGAATCGCAGTTTAAGCATGATTGAATTATCTTCGCCACATGGTAAACCCTTAACGGTATAAAGGAAGTTTGAATACTTAAAGTTATTAATAGTTTTTTAATAATAAAAAAGATATTTTTCATTTTAGCTACACAGTACTAACAATGGCCTGAATAGTGAGGAGGAGGAGAAAAAACGATTTTATGAATCCTTGGACCCAAGCATAGATTACGATGAGCTCCAACCAGAGCCACCACGTCCGACCACACAACAAATGACTCGTTTGCGTGCAGGCAATACTTTTGGATATCCACCATCATCATCGCCACCAGCACCACCACCGATTCAGTATCCAGAGGATTCCAGCTGGCAGCAAATGGCTCAAAACTCAAGGCTACCGAATTTCTCCGACTTTTGTCCGCCGGGGGTAAGAGTAGTTACTCAAGGCTCAGAATTGCCACTCAAGCAGTCTCGTAACAACGTGCTTAAAGGCAGGAATTCACTGAGCAAAAGATATTAAATCAAATTTTGATGTCCATTAATTTTGGGCTTTGCTTTGGGAACTAATATTTTTTCATTCTTAAAGTATAATTTTTAGAAATTACTTTTAAGCTCAAAAAGTTTATTTAAATTGGCAGTTTTTATTTTTAGGCAGGTCCTGGCGCCGCAAGCTCTCCATATCTCCCAACGCCGATACGCCATTCTGTAAGTTATTTTAAAGGCATTTCAATTATTTCAATATTTTCCCCATCTTTTTTTTTTTTTTTGCTCTAGTCCCTTGATCCCTATGCAAGCATACCACAAAGGCATCCGGTAATTTGAATGTTTTGACTATTTTGGGAAGAAAATAATAATAATTTACATTCTCCAGTCAACAGTTTGTCCGCCACTCTCAACTTGGACACCACCAATGCCACAGCCATCGCCACCGAGGCAGCAAGGACGACCATCGACATCGACGAGAGTAAGTTGCACGGCTTCTACTGAGGTATCCTTAGAGTGAGACAACGGCACTTTCAGAACATGCTTTATACTTACTAATATTATTTAGTCTTTATTTTTATTTTTATCTATTTTTTAATTCTTTGCAGTACTCACAGGATGCATCTGAAACAATGTATGAGTCTCCCAGACGTAGTCGGTATCCGCCACAGCCGCCACAGAGTGTGAGTTTTTATTTTTCTTTAAATCTTTTCGATTTCATTTATAATTAATATTTTTATGGTTTCAGCCAATTAACAGTACACGATATAAAGGACTACCGGGACAACCATTCAAAATGACGGTAATTTTATTAATCTGCAGGCAGCTGTTATAGCAGCATTTTTAGTTGAGTTCAGTTGTAGTTCTTTTCAGGGCAGCACTCTGTGGCCTCGTGATATCAGTCTAATATCTATGAAAAGATCTCTCATCCCTTTGCAGTGGATCAAATCTTTTAGTGAGCAGGCGAGGCAAAAACTTACGAGAAAACACTGTAGAGCAGCACTAAGTAGTGGAGATAGTGTACCACCGGCTTTTCTTCATCTTTGCACCTAAGGCTGCAACAGAATTCATGAATAAAATACTCCTTATAGTACTCTATCGTCAGTAGCCAACAGAAAGTGCCCTTGTAGGCTATTGTGAACTGGCTTAAAAAGTGTGGCAATTGTGTTTCTTTCCCTTCGAACAGTGCCCAAATCTGTTTTCCCCCATCGCTTGTGCTTTCTTACACCACATGCTATTGGCACTGGGGTCCCCTAACCCCTTGGCAGATACTTTGCTGAACAAGGTCGTGTATGCCCAAGTCGTGTGCAATGTGGTTGGAATGGTCCTTCTACTAGTTTGCTTCTCGGTAGAACAGTTTTCTGGAAAGCAAATGCACCTGCTTGGCTGTCAGAGTAGATTATGTTGCATTAACACCGTAGAATTAAGTACAAAATGAGATTTGCTCTATTACAGTTCGTACTTCTTGATATCCGCTGCAGCGGTCAGACGATTTCTTGCATACAGCGGTTGTGAATGGTGCTGAGTAGGCTCTACAAACCATTCCGCCATCGTGTTTCGTGCCAGTGGTAAAGATAGCTATGGATTTTTGGTCCAAAAATTTCATTATATTTTTGTTTATACTCACTGCTTTCGAAATTTCAAAGTTAGGGAGATTGAAATTGTTTTGCTCAGTAGAACACTCTAAGGAATTATACTCTCTTTTGGATTGATAACTTTACACGTCTCTAAATGTATTTTAGTTTGAAAATAAAATAAATTTCCAAAAATTCGCCACCTAGGGTCTACCACCGCAATCGATGGGTACACAATGGATCACACCGCCGGGATGTATGCCCTCCGCGTGCTTGCAACAATCCACTCTAGGACCAACACTGAGACAGTCAACGACGCCCGAGGTATGAATAATTCTCTCTTAAAGAAAAAAATAATATTTAATATAAAGTGTTTTCACAGCAAATGCGTTGGGAACCACCATCATGTCCACCGGTATGCCCAATCACTTTCTTTATGGCAAATAAAATTACTCTTAGAAATTTCCATAAAAACTTTTATCTTTAACGCGTTTAGGATATGCCGCGACCGCTAACCTGTGAAAAGCCTGATTTGGTAAAGAGTAATACAAAAAAGTCAAAAAAATATATACGTTTATTTTCAAAAATTTATTAGCAGAAAAATGGCTGCCCGGCGAGCAGTGTGAATATGCCCTGCGAGGGTTGTGAGAGTGCTGAGGATAGTTATCCGCCGCCACCGCGCTGTAAGCCACTGCATCCAGATATAGTTAAGGTGAATTGGCGGTTCATCATATAAAATATTTAGCATTTCGTACTCAAATTCATTTTTTCTTCTAGAAATTGGACGGCAATTTGATGCCATTTAAAATACCGCGCTGCAGTAATTATAGCACAAACCATATAATAACCCATAAAGTAACTGTAGTAAATATCTCTTGAATTCTCCTCTTCTTCTATAGTGGAAGACGATTTCATTTGCGTTAAACGTCGCGAGCAATGGGAGCAGCTCGTAAAGGATCAAGATTGCCCAGGCGCCATACAGTCAACGATCGATGGTTTGGGGGACTTCAATGTGTGGGCTTATGATATATTTTTCGGCAATCACCGCTTGCCTGATTGCTTGCCTCGTATTGAGCCCATCACACTGCTGGAAGCGTTCCACATGCGTATCAATTATGAACGCTGCCAAATGGAAAAATTGGAGAAGCAAACTTATGCGAAAGACCGTCAGGACAATGATGAGGATCACAAAGCGCCGCCACCAAATGACGAGTGAGTTCCACTCATGCCTAAAAATAAGCGAATTTTATTTAATTTTCTTCACACCTCTCTCCCTCTCTCGTTAAATTCACTAGTTGTGCGTTAATTGAAAAGTGTTTCAAGCGCAAGTACCCCACCGAACTCAATAACGCTTTGGAGAAACTTTTGAAGGCAGAAAAGGGTTACAATTTTCTTAACCAGCAACCGGTATGTTGTGACGTCGATACAAAAGCGAATCGCTTATACTAAAAATTCCTCTTTATAGGAGCAACCGCTTATGAATATCATGGTGGATAAGACCAGTTTCGACTTGCCGGGCATACCGATCTCAATACAAGGTTTTGTAGGCACTACAAAGTCGAAAATTTGAGTTTCTTATGAAAACGTGTACCGAATGCTTTAAATAACTTATATAACTGTAAATGTATTGAAAACTATATTTTGCTGAAATGATAATATACTCATAAATATGTACAATCAGTAGCTTTACTGATTCTATTTCTTCGAATACAAACAGAAATTCGTTACAGTTTCAGCAAAAGAGAAGGCTATCTCAAGAAACAGCAGATGAGAGAAGGATTGTGTTGAAGGTAAAGAATTAGCTCGGTTGAGTGTTTCGGCGGGCATGAGCAAATGAGCCTAAAGAAATTAATTAAATTGAGCAAGCTGTTTAGAGCAGCACATCAAACCTCGAATCTCTCTCAACCAAACCACCAAGATCTTTTTTGCAAGACATTTATACCGCAACAGTTCTTCTCGGGCGCAAAAAAATACAAATACTACCAGAAAAAAAGAGCGGCAGATCACTTACCCTCTCTCTGAATCTAGTATGAACCTGACTAAAGTAACATACCGAGTTTTAAGAGGGTGGACGAGCATGCGAAGTGAACACCTCCCAATCACTTTCATAACCGTGGTAGAGTTTTGGCTACCTATATATAAGAAAGTTATTCATAAAAGAGGCTAATTCGAGAAGAACTAGCTCATATGGCCACAGTGGGACAAAAGAAGCTTACAAAAACTTAACTCGATAAAAAATATAAAGAGATATTAGGATGTCTAAAATTATCTTCATGAGACATATTTTATTGAACCCACTTGTAGGGAGTCGTTCGCGCGTTCTACCAAAGACTTCTGCAAGAGTCATAAAATGATGGGAAACTAAACTGAAAGCTTGAGAAATTGCTTTTCAGAATACTCCATACTTTTTTGGTGTAGGCTGAAGCTTTCAGAGAATGGAGAGAAATAATGGAAACAAGGTTATGTCGAATGTTCAGTTTTGTTAATTCTTCATATTGGCTTGGCTAGTGAATGGGAGCTCTTAGGAAACCAAAGGTATTAGTATCCTAAGTGAGCCTATACGCAATAACCATTTCATCCTAGCCTAAACTGAAGTCTATTTAACTGCCTCCTAAGCACCCCAGACTAACTGGCAGAGGTTACTTTGACTGTTTCTCACGAACAGACTTGAAAATCAATAACGAACGAGCTCTGCTTCTCTGTTATGAAAACTGACCCAATCTCACTCTATGATCTCAACTTTACTATGAGTTCTATGCAGAATTCTTGGAAATTTCCAATTTTTTTAGCATACCTCAAACAATGATTGGCAAGAAAATTTTTCTGTACAGAATTTACCACCAATTCGAGGACTTACCTGTGAAAAAAAATTAAAAAAAAAAAATTTTCAACACTATTTTCGAAATTCATGAAATTGACATCAAAGAAAATCTGCACAATTCTATTTGACATATTTATTGACATACATACATATGTAAATATTTCCTAAAAAAATTAGTTTAATGAAATTTTTGTGGATTAAGAGGCAAAAGTAATAAAAGAAATTCCAAATTTCAAGTTAGATGGTTGAGGTAAGTGCAAAACCAAAGAGTTGGCTGTTTTAGAATTGTTTTAAATTAGTATTTTGATATTGCACTAGAATTATTTCAATGCAGGAAGCTCACGACGGAGCTACCGAAGCAACAGCAGTCAACGAGAGTTCCATTGTAGACCTCAGGTAGGCTCCATAGTGTGTGTGAGTGACAACAAGCACACCGTTAGGGTGATTATATGCATGAATAATTAAAATTCTTCGCAATAGTTTCAGCAGCAAAAATCAACTTCAACGAGAAACAGCTGTGGACCCTCCACCTCCACCTCCGCGGCAACGGCGCGTGAAAGTTACGAGAACTGCGGTTGTCCCCAGCGAAGGGTGAGTCACAGTGTCAAACCACATATTAGTGCACTTCATACATATTTATATACTAACTGTATACTTTTCACATATGCACACACACACACACACACACACGCAGACATCACTCTCAGCCTCGTCATCGCCAACGCGTTACAGCACAAGTGGAATTCCGAAAGTATGTTCAAATGATTTGGTCACAGGCGCCGGAATGCTGGCAACATCAACACCACAGGTGAGTGCGATGTGTTGGCTAAAGAACCATCAGATAGGCGTAGCAATAGAAAAACGAAAAACTAAATCCTCCAACTTCCTAGTCCTCGTACACGACGCCTCGAAACAGCTGTGGACAATCGGCTGCGACGTTGATACAGGATCCCTGCGGCACACGAAAAACAAATTCAAATGCATCTTGTTGTTGTTGCTGCCCACATTGTGGCAAACCGCAGGATCCAACGCAAGCGCCTACACCACAGCCAACATGTCCGCCACAGAAGAGCACACTGCCGTGCAGACCCAAGCCGCAGCCGCACAAGGAGGAGAAACCGTCACGTAAGTTGCAATTGCAAACGCTCGTACACATGCGGGCGAGCCGTTTGCGTCTTGGCTTGTAGTTGTTAATTAGTTTGCAAACACCGTTACGCATAACAAGACCAACAAGCGTGTTTACCTTCCAGCCGAGGTTGAGTTCAAGTGTCGCATGCGAAAATTACAATTGGAAAATTTAGTCAAAGATCAATTCTGTCCCGGCGCCATACAAAGTACAATCGATTGTGAGGAGGACTTTAATGAAATGTCCTTTCGTCTTGTGTTCGGCTGTGAGCCATTGCCATGCACTTTGCCAACCATTGAGCCCATCACGTTGGTGGAGGCACTGACGATGCGTGTCGATTTGGAGCGTTGTTTGCTAGCCAACGAGTCGACGTACGCGGAGTCGAGGCGAGGTTCTCGACTCGGTTCAAACGAGTTGGATGAGTGAGTAAATGAAAGCCGGTCGTGGGGTTGAATTCATACCATTGCTGATTTGGTTTTTCTTTTTTAATTGACAGAGTGGACGAGTATTTCAGTAGACAGTACAAAACATCTTTGAACGAGGCACTTGCGAGTCTTTTAAAGGCGGAGAAATGTTTTTATGTAGAAAATGCGAATATGGTACGATCAATTCAATTTATTTTTTAATTTTTTTCAGCTTAAACTCTTTGAGGAAATGTTTCCTCGTATCCCCACATCCAAAATATTAGAGAGTCGTGTCTTATCTCTACAAGCCGCCGCAATAGCTTGGCGTACTAATATTCAGTAAAGATCCAAAAATAAAAAAATTATATTTTTTTAAATTGCGATCGACCCCGGACAGGGAATGTGAAGACCTCCGAGTGTATTTCAAAGCGCCAAATAGTGAAAAGGCTCTTTTAGTTCATCCTTTTCCCTACTGAGCATGGAACGCGTTTTATGAAGGAATTAAAAAATTAAAATTCTTTCTGAATACAGTTAGAGAATAATTTGAGACTGCAGATACCAATTAACAACTACGAGGTCGAAAAACTACTGCTAGAAAATATTTTGAAATCCAAGCCTAAACCAAGTATTAGACCACGTCATCCCGGCCATGTATTTGAAGCGAGTTTCTGGTCAACCACCACATAAAAATGATAGACACCGATCCTATAGCCATCTCCTCTAAAGTAGAACTAAACCGTCCTTCAGAGAGATGCGGGAAGATAAAGAGAGAGAGAGCTGAATACCGCCCTGAAGAAAAAGGATTCGTTGATCAAAACCAAGATTGGTGAAATTAAGTGAAGTTAAAAAGGCAGATTTAGCGGTGATAAGCCCATCGGCTCCTGTTATTTACAGTCTTGGAAATAGTACGCACCAGAGTTCATGGCTTCGAGTGTGTTTTGCCGAAGGTGAACTATAGAATAAGATATCTTTTGAGTACAACAAAACTCAAACGTCCCTCACAATCGACCAGGCTAAGGTATGTGGCTCTCTTTGCCCTGCAGCATTGTAAGTTACTTAGTACCATTGAACTAAAGCTGAAGAGTGCAATCTCTATTGTTCCATTAGCTCTCTCACTCAGCGCACTCTGTTTTAGTTAAAATAGAAGATGATATTTTTTTTAGTTTTGAGGAAAGGTCTGAAAATAAGTCTTCTGAATTAGAGCTCAAGATATTGGTAGTTTTATGCCGAAAAGTTCTTTGTTCAAACAAAATCTGCAATAAGACCTTTATATGGATTTAGCTTCAATAATCATATTAAAGCACAACAGCTCGAGAACCTGTAGAAAAGCCTTCAGGACCATATATAAGACTCTACCCAATCAACCTACATGGTTTTTTTTTTTATTAATTTAACGAAAACTTAAAATTTTAATATTTAAACATTTCCATTACAGAACGCTCTCAATATGGATGCCCAAATCAATAAGACCTGTACATGCCTACCAGATAGTTCTGTAAAAATTACGGCATTCACTGGGAACACGCGACCGATGCAGTAAAATTTTTCGTTATTGTTTTTCTGCATATTTTTTATTTAATTTATTAATAAATTTAAAAAAAATGTACTTATGTGCAATGAAATTTGTATAAGTCGAAATGAAATTCAAAAGCGAAATGTAAAACAAGCATGTTAATTTAAAAAATTAGAGAAATGGCAATGAAAGGTAGTATTTACCCCTTGAAACCAGTAAGTTTTCATCAGCCTTGATGTATTAACCGCCCACGAATTTCCCGCCTCACGACCACCCAACTCAACAAAGTACTAAAAAATGCATAAAAAATTACCAATTAAATATACGTGTACATATGAATTTATAGCTATTCACTAATACACACATGCACACAGTTATAATATTCATATACATAAGCGCACAATCTTCACCAAACCAAGCTCGGCGAATTGAATTTAAATTTCCCATTGCTTACGCCTCATTGATTTGCGGCGGCTTGGCGACCGAACGACCGACCATCTGTTGATCGATTAAATTGTGTGTGAAATTACTGTTCGTCACCGCAATCAAGTGCAGTTACCAACAAAATAATATAACAATTTTCGATCATTTGACCATAGTCAACAAATAAATGATACACAGAAATATATACATATATACAAATTCATATAAATATATATATACAATACAAATGTACGAATCTGATATATTATAAATACAAAATGAAAATAAATATTAATAAAAAATAAACAAACAAAAAACTTATAGGTGTAATTTTAAATTTGCATATAAAAAGGCAAAAATATTTCCAGAGCGGAAAAAATTTCAATTAAAGCAAATGTGTTATTATTATTATTATTACTAAGTATAATTACTAAAAGTATGCAAAGTGTTCTTTTATGGCAGAACATTAGAATTCTAAGCAAAGTGGGAACTGTTGGAAAGCAACAAAAATATTTTAATGTGAATTATTTCCCTAAAAAAGAGTACTAAAACTAGTACCTAACTACTTCTGTTGTGATCTCAAGGTGCGACAGGATATACTAAAAACGCCATAATCTGAGCTCAACGAATTCGACGAAAAATCAGTAAGACCGTTCAGAGTGGAATGGAATCACTAAAAAACCTGCAACAACGCCAAAAAAAGTTTTTTCTCACTGAAAAACAAAATAAGCGACTCAGAATATAAATTTTACAGACACATCAGCAAAATATTGCGAGTTTGATGAATATTTGTGGTTAGAGCAATTTTTATGAACAACAAAAATGAATTATTATAAATATCAAAAAAAAAAAAATAATAATAATTAAATATTATAGCTATTCGATTTAAATGGAAAACATTTCTACTAAATGTATTTATAAATTTTTTTTTTTTATTTACGCTGATGCTCATCATTTGAATTAGTGAGACATTGGCATTCTATAAGTGTGAATGGATTACGACAGAAGCAGTTCAGAACCACTTGAAAAAGGCTGGATACACAAACAAGTTCGGCGTATGGATGCCATGAACCTCATGAACCGAATATCAATATGCTCTCGCTGCCAAATCGTAACAAAATCAACCCATTTTCGAAGCGAATGGTGTCTGGTGATCAAAAACCATTAAATGGTTATCATATTTTCCTCAGTACGGCGTATGACTTGGCTGGTGTAAAATTGACCCCAAGCGAAGCTTTTGAAAATCGGTTGTCCCAACTTTTTGCAAAAGAGACAAAGACTTTCATGAGGGAGAAATGACGGTACCTTCAAAATTACTAAAGATTTTCAAGCAAAACGGTGCATGTTTGATATAAATCGGATAATTCTAACTATGGCAAATAAAGCCATCAATTTAATGCAAATAACGGATTACTTTTTACTAGATCTATATATGTATATATATAAATCTCACGTTCGTTTCATACCGACAAATTGACTTGAAATTTTGTCACATTCCTAGGTGTCTAGAATAGTTTGAACGGAAAAATATTATCAGGGAGTGGACCAGTGACCGAACTATTCTATTGTAATTATGGTAACATTATTCAAAATAAGTGTATTTATTTTTTATTTACTGAAAGTGGATCGATCTGTTGACCAGAGAACAGGAACCAAGTTCGACTTGCTCGATATATAAATAATACTTTCTTTATGGGAAAAATTAGAATGATTCGAATATAAACATTGATCCTGTTTGGGTATGTTTGCCTCTCATTCTAACTATTTTGCAGAGACGGGTACAAACTAATGGGGTGCTTAGCTTACTTCGCGGAGCTCGTCATGTAATTACCGTGGAATACTATGAGCAGCGAAGTAGTGGCCTACCTATACAAATAAGTGAATATTTTTACTTACTTAATGTTTGATTAGAATAAAAATTGAACAAAATACAGAAAATCACAGCAATGTATGGCCCAGTCTCTCTAGTTATAAAAAAAAAAATAATTAATTAAAATTAAATAAAATTAGCCAAAATAAAATAAGATAAAGTAAAATAAAGTAAAATTAGTATAAATAAAACAATAATAATTATAAATTAAGTGAAAACCAAATAATATTAATAAATAATAAAATCATATACAACAATATTAAATAAAATAAACACAAAACGATATGGGAAAAATGCCTTTGGTGATTTCTTTATTTCCATTTAATTTCTTTGTTTAATTTTCGCTTGATAAGTATTTTTATCACTAAAAATAAAACATTTCTGACCAATCAACTATACTTCGAGCTGTTCGGATAAATATGGTGAGTAAGCGTATTATGATATGTGCTATTCAACATGGTACATACATACATACATACTAAGTTTCAATGATTATGTTTGTACTAAGGTTAATTGATAAAATGTGTTTTCCTCTTCCTCAACTTTATTAGCTGCTTTGCATCTTTCCACTACTATGTCTTCTGCATTGCTCACTAAGCAATAAAAAATTTAACTAAAAATCGAAATTTTAAATTCCCATGAGATCCAGCGGTATGTCAAATTCAAGCAAGTTTTTGTAAAAAAAATGTAGTAAATAAACATTTATAGAAAACATTCTCAACGATTTAATTGATATGATAGACTTTATCAACTTTTGTTCAAAATTCATATTTATATTCATCCATCTGATGTATATCCATGCGTGCACGCGAATATGTATATAAATATAAGCTAACTGTAGCTTACCATTGTAAACACTAACAGGCATAATTAATTTATTCTTGTGAACAATTCATAACTAATTTTCTTATCAGCCGCAAACAGTTGTTGTTGATAACGAAAAGAGAAAACAATAAACAAACAAGAAGTTCATTGTTCAACCGGCTGATTATTGACGAAATTAATTTAAAAAAAAAACTAACTCAAAAGCAAAAGTGTAAAAATACACATTCGAGACAATAAACAAAGAGAACAAGCGGCGACAATAAACGAAACAAAGAGAAATCCCCAATTCAAAGCATGCGGAGGAAGCCAGCAAGTGATTATGAGCGATTATAAACTACACTCACTTCAACGATTTGTACAAAATTAACAGTGATAAATGAGAAGCTGAGTGTGAATACTTAAAATAATGAAAATAATTCGAGGAAAAAAATTAAACAAAAAATTAAAAATAAAAATAAATAAAAAAGGAAGAAAAACAGCAATTAATTTTTTTTTAATATTTTTACAGATGAGCACACAATGATACATACAAACAAGCACGAAATATGAGTAGCTTGCGTGTTATCAGCCATAAATAACATCTTTCGAATGATAGATATCAACGGAAAAACTTCCAATTGAAAAAAATATATATATTTTCCTTGCACATATATGTACATACATATACTGTGAGTGTCTTATTTATTTAATTGCATATATTTTTGAAAAAATATACATATATAAACAAACAAGTAATAATAAAAATGCTTATAAATAGTCTGCAACCTGTGCAAGGCAATGTGCGCTGAAGCGTTGAAGTGAAAAAAAAGTTATGCTTTCTTGATTTCATTGTTTTTGGCTTCACATGTGCTGACTACAGCAAATTGTTCAAAAACAAAATTTGTGTTTATTTCGATTGTATTTTGTTTTATTTATTAGTTTTTTTATTTATTTATTTTTTTTTTTTTGTTTTTTTTTTTTTTTTTTTTTTGTTTTTTTTTTTTTTTTTTTTTTTTTTTTTTTTTTTTTTTTTTTTTTTTTTTGATAATAATAAATTGAATAACAAATTTATGGGTCAAATTAGAATTTTAGCAATTTGTAAAATTTTCAATAAAAAAATTATAATTTTACTGTTCGTCACTTTATTCATTAATTAGTGGAAATGTTTTCAATGTTTTCCAATTTGCTGATTTATATGTATATATATTTCTATAATATTTAATATATTTAAAACTTATGCAATTAGTAGTTAACATTTTTTTTATATATAAATTTTATTCAAATTAAATAATAAATTATTTTCTTAGATTTGTAGAGGCGATATTATTATTTTTCATTATAATACCTTTATAAATTTCCGTGTAAGTTTTTTGCTGTCATCCAAAAATTTAGATCAATTTTTTTTTTTTTGTTTTTTTTTCGTTATTTATTTATGTACTTCTTCATCTCTTTGTAGCCGAAAATATTGATTATTTAAAAACGACCGTAAATAATATTCAATGTTGTTTTGTTTATGTTGCGTTTTTGTTTTTTATTTGCCATTTCCTCATTTAAAACTTGCTCTACTAGCTGGTTTTATTGCTTTGTTTTCATACATATATTCTTTTAGTACTTCCTCTTTACTCTTAATTTTTTCCGGCACAGTCACCCAAAAAAAAAACATATAACACAATAATTTTGTGATTGTTATTTATTACACATTATTATTTATTATAGCGCAAAATACATTTCCATGCTCAGAAGCAAGCAGTAAAACTGAAAGTGACTGAATATATTGAAACTCGCAAAGCCCGCTATGGCTGCAGTGGCAGCATTTCTTCAGTTACACTGACAAAAAAAATCTAAAAATATATATATTAGATTAACAAATGTATATGTACATATATTTAAGAGATTTCCATGCTCTTTTCGAGTCTAAACATAAGACCAGCATATTTATTTCAATACTAATTTGGAAACGCAGCTAACTAAAAAGGAAATAAAATAATATAATCATTAAATTTTATTTTCCCTGTATTTTTAAGTTTATTTAATTAAATTTTTATTATATCTAATTATATTATATTACATTATATTTAAAAATATATTTTATTTTATTTTATTTTTTTCTATTTTATTTATTTTTATTTCATTTTATTTTATTTTATTTTAATTTTATTTTATTTCAATTCTTTTCATTTTATTTTATTTTACTTTATTTTATTTTAATTTTATTTACTTTATATTATATTTTATTCTTTATAATATATAATTCTGTTTTATATATTTCTTTTAAAACATTATTGGCCTTTATATTTTTACCGTGTACTAATCTCATGAACCACTCAGTCAGTACTCAATTAAAACAGCTGCGATCATTTGACTTCACACTCTCCGATAATATTAAATGAATATACAAACAGATGCACGAACTTACTACAAGCTGACATATGCGAGTATACTTGTATATACATATCTCTATGCAGAACATTTAGATACACACGTACATACATGATTCAAAAAATTACACATTCTGATGCCAATAACAACAAACAGAAACAACAAAATTGACGTCACACAATAAACAGCTCAAATTAATTGATTGATGCTAGCAAAATAAATACAGCGTGACATACATAATTAAAGATCTAGAAATGCAAATGTGTGGTATTTACTGTTGAACATTGTATATTCGGTATCTTCGAACTGACGACAAAACACATTGAAGGCGTGTGAATTTGTCTTTTTTGCTATTTATGTATTCCGCTGTCAAACTGATGGCACGCGCCTCGATCACTTCATCCCATACCCCCGGAGATTCGATAAATACACACCTAAATACATAGATACACTCGTTTGTGCTCGTAGTGAGAAATATGTATGTTGACATGCGCTCTAAAGGGAGTGTCAGTTGCCGCACGCCTCAGTCTATCTCAGAGCGCAAGGCAAGTGAACGAATGTTGGCGCTCAGTTATTGAGTGATATTCAACGGTAAAGAGAAATCAGTTTATAAGAATAAATAAAATTAAAAAATAGATTTACAATCGTTTGTAAGTTTGACTTTGTGTATTTTGTAAATATGGGTGAGTTCCAAAACGTCAGTTCCAAAGCAGCCATGCATTTTCACGCATTCCTTTGACGATGTGTGTGTGTTCCAAAATGCATCGGTAAAGTTATTGATGCGCAAACAAAAGCAAACTGCGCATCGCTAAGGTTTGTGTTTCTTTATTTTATTATAAATTCTTAACAATAACAGCCGACGTCGGAGGGCAAGTTTTTTGAACTAATATTTTTTGTTAAACATAATATTACTTATTTTTTTGATCTGTTTTATATTTTAGCGATTTCACCGAAAAGCGTTCCAAAATGCCAGAGTTTGCAGAGTGTTGCTGCAAAGAAAATACATAGAATGCAGGGTTGCATTGTTATGATGCGGTTTTGGAACTCGCCCTAGATTACACTTTATGAGTTTATACATACGCGTATACATATGTATGTATGCATAGACAGTTCTTTTGTTTGTTTTTAATTTTGATGAGTACTTGTTGAGTGTTATTCTGTTGGACTTGCATTCGCTCGCAATGCATTAATAAATGGAAATAAATTTTAATGCACTCACCGAGCGCACTTACAAGCTCACATAAATACGCGTGTGTATGTATGTATGTATAAGGTGTTTTATTCATTAATGCTGATACGTTTGCGTTACTTGAACTAAATCTACATATGCAATCATACTCGTATACTCGTATATATACATATTTGCTCCTTAAAATATTTACATATATATGTACATATGTACGTATGTATGTGGGTAAACGAAAATGAGTTGATTAACTGAAAGTGATACTTTGATATACATATATATACACGTACATATCAGATATATTGCATATATTAGGTCAAGTAACAAGTCATACATTACTTTTGTATTAAATTAAAGGCCTTTTTTACCATATAAAAATTTAGTCAATAAAGTTTCACGGGCTCTCTTAAGGCCGATACTTCACCAGCCAAATCATTCGCCGTTGAAACAAAATTCCACTTCTGTTGGCCTGAGCTGAGCAATTGCTTGCAAAAAACCGAAATATACGCTTAAATTGTAAAAGTGCATGGTGATAGTTCTCTTAGTCGTGCCCAGGTATTTCGAAGGCATAAAGGGTTTAAAAAGGGGCTTGGTGGCGGGTAAGATCGCATGAGCAAGTTGAAGGAGAAAACGATGATTATTGCACTGTTTTGATAGCCACGGAATCGTCCACAAAAAATTTCTTACACCGGGGCACAAAGGGTAAATCGAGTCTACTATCGCCGAGTACTCGAAAGATTGCGAAAACTAGTCAACAGTGTGCGCCCAGACATCGCTCGTAGCTGGATCCTTCATCACGACAACGCGCCGTGTCACACCGCCCTCAGCGTGTCCCAGTTTTTGGCCTAGAACAAAATCGTTGATCAAAGGAACTCATTTTGAGTAAATTGAGGACATCCTGGTGGCCGTGAGGGGGGTATTTGCTTGCAGACATCCCAACCGAAGCGTTCCAGAAAAGTCACGGAGCAAGGAAAATGCACTGGAATCGTTGTATAGCTGCCCAGGGGGAGTACTTTGAAGGGGATAGCAGAGCTGTATAATAATTTGGAAATATGCGGTTTTTATGGCATAAATCTCTTTCAACGCACATATATAAATTTCGTATTTATAAAAATTTTAATTTTAAATTAAATATAAACTTTTACGCAAATATTGATGTAAATAAAATTAACCAAAATTTCAGAAAAATTGCACATAATAAAATTGAAATACTTCCATACTATTCGTATTACATATTCGTGAATCCCTGTCAAAATAATCAAGTATGCACATATATATGTTTGTATATATATTTGTATATATGCTTGTATTTATTAACCCATAAGCTTTAATTCGTTTATTTTCAGAAGAGTACTTCAATATCATAGCGAATACGTTTGTACCTATGCATTTAAATATGTATATTTGTACGTTTGTATGTACATATGTATGCATGTGCAAGCCAATGAACGGCTATAACAAGCAGCGATTTATGTATTTGCGGTATAATTAGATGCAGATGTGGTTGAGTGATATGCAACTACAAACAGACATACACACATATACTAATTCATTTATTTATGTATACATGTATGTGTACATATGTATGCATTTATTGCAATATATCGATTTGCATGTTTGTTGTATTGTCTAATTGGGCGTATTTATGCAGAAGCCAAACTGTATTTATGTTATTGTTTTTGTTTTGTTATTGTTGCTATTGTTATTGCTTCATCAATAGTATGATTAACATTGTTACGCGTAATGACATTACAATTTTGTTATTGTCATTCAAAATTTGAAAATGAAATGTAACTCACTACTTACATGTACACACGCAAACAGATATGTATGTATGCACACGTATGTGTATGAATATCGAAAATTTTGGTTATAATTTAATTAATGAAAGCAATTAATGTGAAAATCCTTCAATTGTCAACAAATCGAAATTACAAATATACATAGATACATATGTACATGTGTATATATATATTGGTTACTATGCACGTATATTAACCGCCGTTACGTGCGTGTGCGTATACGTGTGTGGTTTCCTGGCGATTTTGTGGCTTTGTTTGGTGAGTCAAGGATATGGCATCACTACATGACATACGGATAAAATTGGCAGCTATCTGTAACACGCCGGCGATTACACAAATGGTGCGAGGGTTGCCTTTTGTATTTCAGGCTCAGTGTACAAAAGCATAGTTTACTCACTCTCAAAATTTCTTTATTGCTCTTCAAAATATTCTCCATTAAGATCTATACACTTTTGTATGTTTTTAAAGCGAACCACTTTTGCCACTCCGATTGAGATATCTCTGAAATATGCATTCTGAACACCTCAAACGTCTCTTCAGGTGTCTTAGTTTATCCTTCGGTAGCAAGAGAGGACTATATGGTGGACGACGTATCAAATCCAGGGGTTCAGTGCTGAAAAGTAGTTGTTTTATTTGATGTGTTAGAGTTCGCATTATGGCGGTGAAGAGCGAGCCATCTTCGGCGGTTGATTTGTCTGATCTATTGAAAAACTACTTGACACAAATGGATGTGTACTATTTTTACTTTTGTTGGACTCGGCTCATCTTCAAACACCCATCCAGTCGACTGCTGTTTACTCTTAGGGTCATACGATGTCATAGACGTGATTCGAAGCAGTGCTTTCGTGCTTCTTAACATTTTTCCCGACCAATCGAATCGAGCTTTTTTTTTTGTACGATCGATAACGGATGAAGTACTTTACCCAATACTTTTTTTTATAGATAACGCGCTAGTCGTGTCAAGTTGTCATGTTGGCTTGGTTCAGTATTTTTTGGCAGTGGGAAAAACTTACGCTTGTACAACATTTTCAAATCGTCAACTTTATCACGAAAGCTTACGCTCTGTAAGAAATGTCTTTTGCGCACTTTCTTTAACTTTGGGGACCAAGAGCAACCAGAAAAGATTCAAAAGGTGTCATTTCATCCGGAAAAAAAGCTCGGTGTGGTTTGTGGGCCGACATTGGCGACCGTAGCGATATTTCCCACACATCGCATCAGTCAATGGATTTATTGAGAGAACTTTTCGGTGAGCAGTTAATATAACGTTTTGTATCAGTTGGGTAGCCACCAAGATCATCTGATATCACATCGTTACCCTATTTGCCATGAGGTTTTGTAGATTCTAACGTCTCTGAAAAAAATTCCGCTTCATTTCAA